GTACCCTACCGCCCACAGGATGGGTATGGGGTACCCTACCGCCCACAGGATGGGTATGGGGTACTCTACCGCCCACAGGATGGGTATGAGGTACCCTACCGCCCACAGGATGGGTATGGGGTACCCTACCGCCCACAGGATGGGTATGGGGTACATTACCGCCCACAGGATGGGTATGGGGTACCCTACCGCCCACAGGATAGGTATGGGGTACCCTACCGCCCACAGGATGGGTATGGGGTACCCTACCGCCCACAGGATGGGTATGGGGTACCCTACCGCCCACAGGATGGGTATGGGGTACCCTACCGCCCACAGGATGGGTATGGGGTCCACTACCGCCCACAGGATGGGTATGGGGTACATTACCACCCACAGGATGGGTATGGGGAACCCTACCGCCCACAGGATGGGTATGAGGTCCACTACCGTCCACAGAATGGGTATGGGGGTACACTACCTCCCACAGGATGGGTATGGGGTCCACTACCGTCCACAGGATAGGTATGGGGGTACCCTACCGCCCACAGGATGGGTATGGGGTCCACTACCACCCGCAGGATGGGTATGGGGTCCACTACCACCCACAGGAAGGGTATGGGGTCCACTACCGCCCACAGGATGGGTATGGGGTGCATAATAAATCACCAAAATCAACTATAATCTGGGCTCCGGCTCGCGAGGATTGGACCGGATATATCCTCCATATATGGAAGGAAAGTGACGTAGCGAAAGTGTCAATCTCGCTCTTAGTCGGGCAGGATATAACTGCAACTTGATTGTTGAAGATTAAGCCACCCAAGAGGTGGCACGGGCATGAATAACCCGTAAATTGTGACTTGTTGTTTCAGATTCAGCTACACGGAACAAAGAGTTCCAAGTAGCACGGGCTATGGTGAGCCCGTAGTGGACTTAGCTGGCACAGGAGCGGGGCTGTAACTGTGGACTGTGACTTCACATACACATGTTTGTATCCCTCGTTCTTATCCCCCACACCAGAGACTAGCAGCGGCCTCCTCCGTGGTTATGGTTTATCAGTTTCTTAGACTGGTAGACTGGTAGACTGGTAGACTGGTAGACTGGTAGACTGGTTGAGGCTGGTCGCGGCGCCCGTGACCAAGGGTGACACTGTCCGCCCGGTCACCCCGCCAGTTACTGGTCACACTCAACCATGTTGAAACGACCGGTCCTGACTGTATCATGCCAGGGAGGGAGAGAGAGAGAGTGGGGGGGGGGTGGGGGCGGGGGTGGGGGGGGGTGAGGACACAGAACGTCAGCATTTCATAAAGAAACAACACAGCAAAAAGGAGAGACAACAAGAGGCAGAACAACGCCGGGTGACTTTCCCGGAAAAGGTGAAGCATCCCCCCCTCCCCAGCTGTGTCTTCACCCCCCCCCCTGTGTGTGTGTGTGTGTGTGTGTGTGTGTGTGTGTGTGTGTGTGTGTGTGTGTGTGTGTGTGTGTGTGTGTGTGTGTGTGTGTGTGTGAGCGAGAAATATATATAGTAGACATAATTCAGGAAAGTAGATTGGTTAGAAAGGCGGGGTCCAAGAACTAAGATCTCGACTCAGCAGGCACAAATAGTAAATACGAATACTAAATGTACAGACAAACACAATCCTGGAGTATGCGGCCCCAGCATGGAGCCCGCACCTTGTCAAACACAAGACGAAGCTGGATAAAGTTCAGAGGTATGCCACTAGACTAGTCCCAGAACTAAGAGGCATGAGCTATATGGAAAGGCTGAGTGAATTTGCACCTATCGTCGCTGAAAGACAAAAGAGTTCAGGGAGACATGATCACCACATACAAAATTCTTAGGGGAATTGACAGGGTAGACAAGGATGGAGTATTTAACACGGGTGGTACACTCACAAGGGGACACAGGTGGAAGTCGAGTACCCAAATGACCCACAGAGACAATACAAAGAAATTTGTCAGAGTAGTTAGTAAATGGAATATGCACTAGGAAGTGACGTGGTGGAGGCTGACTCCATACACAGTTTCAAATGTAGATATGATAGAGCTCGAGAGGTTCAGGAACCTGTACACCAGTAGATTAACATTTGAGAGGCGGGACCAAAGAGCCACAGCTCAACCCCCGCAAGCACAACTAGGTGAGTACAACCCCCCCACTACCCCCCCCATACACGCACCATTAACAATATTGCCCCCACAGGCATTTATGTTTACAAACTCACCACACAGGTGAAGGGCTGACACCTCTCACCATGCAGGGGGGGGGGGGTGCTCACCTTACGAACCATATCATTAACAACCACAACCTCCTACCCTCTGACACCACGTCACAACCCATATCTACCCTCTAAACCACCTCACAACCCATATCTACCCTCTAAACCCACCTCACAAGCCATAACTACCCCATAACTACCCTCCGCCACTGAGGACCCCAAGGACCCAGTCAACTGTTGTGGTGTGTGTGTGGTGAAGTAATAGTGACCGGGGCTCCAGGAAGTCACCAGGGTGACTGGGGACTCGGACGGTGGCCAGGGACTAAGTAGGGCCGGCAGGTATTGCTGGCAAGTAAAATGGGGTGTGTAGTTTTAGAGTGGGTTTCCGTTACGAAGCTGTGTATATGACTAGCAGATAGGCCTACAGTTGGTTTGTATCTGCTATTGGTAGTTGACTGTGTGTATGTCTCTCTTTCTCTTTCTCTCTCTCTCTTTCTCTCTCTCTCTCTCTCTCTCTCTCTCTCTCTCTCTCTCTCTCTCTCTCTCTCTCTCTCTCTCTCTCTCTCTCTCTCTCTCTCTCTCTCTCTCTCTCTCTCTCTCTCTATATATATATATATATGTCGTACCTAGTAGCCAGAACTCACTTTTCAGCCTACAATGCAAGGCCCGATTTGCCTAATAAGCCAAGTTTTCATGAATTAATATATTTTCTCTAATTTTTTTCTTATGAAATGATAAAGCAACCCATTTCATTATGTAAGCGGTCAATTTTTTTTATTGGAGTTAAAATTAACGTAGATATATGACCGAACCTAACCAACCCTACCTAACCTAACCTAACCTATCTTTATAGGTTAGGTTAGGTTAGGTAGCTGAAAATGTTAGGTTAGGTTAGGTTAGGTAGGTTAGGTAGTCGAAAAACAATTAATTCATGAAAACTTGGCTTATTAGGCAAATCGGGCCTTGCATAGTAGGCTGACAAGTGCGTTCTGGCTACTAGGTACGACATATATATATATATATTTCTCTTTCTCTTTCTCTCTCTCTCTCTCTCTCTCTCTTTATTACTTGCCCGGGTTCTGTTTCCAGCAGTGACAGGACCAAACCCCAAGGTTTCTTTCACATGATACTTCTATTCACCTAGCAGTAAATAGGTAGCTGGGAGTTAGATAGCTGCTTCAGGCAGCATCCTGGGGATGTGAACGAGAGAGAGAGAGAGAGAGAGAGAGAGAGAGAGAGAGAGAGAGAGAGAGAGAGAGAGAGAGAGAGAGAGAGAGAGAGAGAGAGAGAGAGAGAGAGATGTGTACTTACCTAGTTGTACTTACCTGGTTGTGCTTGCGTGGGTTGAGCTCTGGCTCATTGATCCCGCCTCTCAACTGTCAATCAACTGGTGTACAGGTTCCTGAGCCTATTGGGCTCTATCATAGCTACATTTGAGATATGATAGATATGATATGATCTACACTAGAGAGAAATGTGTGTGGATATGATAGAGAAAAATAGGTCAGTAGTCGGTGCATTAAATTACAGACGGTTAGAAAGGCGGGATCCAAGAGCTAGCAGCTCGATCCTGCAGACACACACACACAGTGAATACAAATTAATTGCACACACACACACACATAAATGCACAAACACGAACACGGAAACAATCGTACAATTAACGAGTGAAATCGTACGAATCTGCATTTAACAGCCAGCGAACACAAGCCCTCTGCTGAGAGAGAGAGAGAGAGAGAGAGAGAGAGAGAGAGAGAGAGAGAGAGAGAGAGAGAGAGAGAGAGAGAGAGAGAGAGAGAGAGAGAGAGAGAGGCTGCAGCTATTCACGATTATGTTCCCTTATAACCCTTGTGTGGCAGGCCAGTAATGAGAGGATTTACTATTTATATATATCAACATATACACTATATCCATGCGTGTGTGGACTCGTCTAATTGTACTCACTTAACTGGACAGCGCTCTGGGGGTCGTAGTCCTAAGGGCCCCAGGTTCGATCCCCGGCAGAGGCAGAAACAAATGGGCTGAATATCTTTCACCCTGGTGCATCTGTTCATCCTTTCTTAAGAATGGCGTTTTCAACCCAAGCGATTCCGTAATCAATTTCGAAGTGTGTCGGTCCAGGTCCATGAAGCCTGGTCCATGTCCAGGAAGCCTGGTCCAGGTCCATGAAGCCTGGTCCATATCCACGAAGCCTGGTCCAGGTCCATGAAGCTTGGTCCAGGTCCATGAAGCCTGGTCCAGGTCCATGAAGCTTGGTCCAGGTCCATGAAGCCTGGTCCAGGTCCATGTCCATGAAGCCTGGTCCAGGTCCATGTCCATGAAGCCTGGTCCAGGTCCATGAAGCTTGGTCCATGTCCATGAAGCCTGGTCCAGGTCCATGTCCATGAAGCCTGGTCCAGGTCCATGAAGCTTGGTCCAGGTCCATGAAGCCTGGTCCAGGTCCATGAAGCTTGGTCCAGGTCCATGAAGCCTGGTCCAGGTCCATGCCCATGAAGCCTGGTCCAGGTCCATGAAGCTTGGTCCAGGTCCATGAAGCCTGGTCCAGGTCCATGAAGCCTGGTCCATGTCCAGGAAGCCTGGTCCAGGTCCATGAAGCTTGGTCCAGGTCCATGATGAAGCCTGGTCCAGGTCCCTGAAGCCTGGTCCATATCCAGGAAGCCTGGTCCAGGTCCAGGAAGCCTGGTCCAGGTCCACGAAGCCTGGTCCATTCCCTGGGTAAACTAATCCTTCCTGCCATTGTTAAAGAGTTAAGGGTGTGGGTTAACCCTGTGATGGGGGCTATTTAAGGGTAATTACTCTAGCATTATGATGCTAGAGTAATTACCCTTAACAGGAGTAATGATCCTGTTAAGAGTGGCATAGAGTACACAGGATCAGTGGGCGACAACAGCATATCATTGTAAATAAACGCTTCGAAACATCAAAGGGAAGATTGCGGGGAGCCCCTAACAAAGCTGTTGGAGGGGGCGGGGGGGGGGTAGTAGCCCCCTTCAACCCCTTCTGTGGGAGGGGGAAAGTTGCCCCCTAACCAAAATAGGGAAGAGGTTGCAGCCCCCCCTGACCAAAACATCTCCCGTATACAACAATTGCCTATCACCCGGGTGAACAGCGGCATTAGGTGTAAGGAAACGTGTCCAAACGTCTCTCCCTACTCGAGAATATTTGGGTGTGAACTCACACGGGTGCTATTTTGGGAGCACATATTACCATGTAGTTCACCGACGGCCGTGTGGTTGTGAGCGAAATCACGGAGACGAGTCAGGCAATAGTTGTTAATAAGACCTCGGAGTACTGCTAACGACACCCCTGGCGGGAAGTCAACCACCAATCAGCACCACGGACCCCCACGTGACCGCAGTGAGAGGTCAGCGAGGGTCACCAAGACAGAAGTAGCCTCGGCTCGCTTAAATTCCCCAGAGCAAATCTGCAGGCGACGGGGGTCACAACAACGTGGCTGAAGATGTGCTGACCAAACTACACACTAGAAGATGAGGAAACGACGTTTCGATCCGTCTCTCACACACGATAATGGTCCAGGAAAGACCGAAACGTCGTTGTTTCCCCATTTTCAGACGCGTGGTTTGGTCCGTCATATCCACCTGTAAGACGTCTGGCCTCGCCTGCCTAATCTTCCCGGAGCAACCTGCCAGATTCAGTGTCTCACTGGACACAGAATCTTGAGCAACCTTGCAGGAACCAGGGAACAACCTTGCAGGAACCAGGGAACAACCTTGCAGGAACCAGGGAACAACCTTGCAGGAATCAGGGAACAACCTTGCAGGAACCAGGGAACAACCTTGCAGGAACCAGGGAACAACCTTGCAGGAACCAGGGAACAACCTTGCAGGAACCAGGGAACAACCTTGCAGGAACCAGGGAACAACCTTGCAGGAACCAGGGAACAACCTTGCAGGAACCAGGGAACAACCTTGCAGGAACCAGGGAACAACCTTGCAGGAACCAGGGAACAACCTTGCAGGAACCAGGGAACAACCTTGCAGGAATCAGGGAACAACCTTGCAGGAACCAGGGAACAACCTTGCAGGAACCAGGGAACAACCTTGCAAGAACCAGGGAACAACCTTGCAGGAACCAGGGAACAACCTTGCAGGAACCAGGGAACAACCTTGCAGGAACCAGGGAACAACCTTGCAGGAATCAGGGAACAACCTTGCAGGAACCAGGGAACAACCTTGCAGGAACCAGGGAACAACCTTGCAGGAACCAGGGAACAACCTTGCAGGAATCAGGGAACAACCTTGCAGGAACCAGGGAACAACCTTGCAGGAACCAGGGAACAACCTTGCAGGAACCAGGGAACAACCTTGCAGGAACCAGGGAACAACCTTGCAGGAATCAGGGAACAACCTTGCAGGAACCAGGGAACAACCTTGCAGGAACCAGGGAACAACCTTGCAGGAACCAGGGAACAACCTTGCAGGAACCAGGGAACAACCTTGCAGGAACCAGGGAACAACCTTGCAGGAACCAGGGAACAACCTTGCAGGAACCAGGGAACAACCTTGCAGGAACCAGGGAACAACCTTGCAGGAATCAGGGAACAACCTTGCAGGAACCAGGGAACAACCTTGCAGGAACCAGGGAACAACCTTGCAGGAACCAGGGAACAACCTTGCAGGAACCAGGGAACAACCTTGCAGGAATCAGGGAACAACCTTGCAGGAACCAGGGAACAACCTTGCAGGAACCAGGGAACAACCTTGCAGGAACCAGGGAACAACCTTGCAGGAACCAGGGAACAACCTTGCAGGAACCAGGGAACAACCTTGCAGGAACCAGGGAACAACCTTGCAGGAACCAGGGAACAACCTTGCAGGAATCTTGTGCAACCTTGCAACCAGAGTCGTGGCCTCCCGAGCAACAAAGACCTTCTTTACGATCAACATTTATTCGGTGTATATTTCGAAGTGACGTCAGCTTTTGGACATGAAAAAATGCACCTTACGAAAGAGCGGTTGTGTAATTATTCAGAATAACTAGTTGAAAATTGTGTAAATATTGAGACAGATTATTTGAAGCGATATTGAAAACGATTACCACTGTCCACTAGCAAGGTGGTGGAAATGCACATAAAGTACACATATATCCCTAAGTAGCATATCCTTCACAATAATATTACATTATTATTACATCCCCTTAACATATGAATGTGGCCATACACACGCCAGGAGTGGAGTTAGAGGGAGGAATATTAAGGTTCCCAACCGTCCGTGGTCGACGGCGTCCCGGCGGCCTGGTCGACGACCGGGCCGCGGGGACGCTAAGCCCCGGAAGCACCTCAAGGTTACCTCAAGGTAGGTAACCTGGCTGGCGATACACTGTTTACGTTGCTACGATACTTCTGTGGCGCTACGATAGTTCTGTGGCGCTACGATAGTTCTGTGGCGCTAATGGCGGGGAAATTATTGGGAAATAAAGAGTTGCTGGGTTTTGCTCCAAGAGGAGGAGGAGCGATCCCAACGGGTAACTCCTGCGCTCCGGGATGTAGAATACGATGTTGGACCTGGTAGTGCAGGTTACGATATCTCCAGGAACGAAAGTGTTTGTGTTCGTACGATATCTCAAGGAACGGAAGTGTTCGTATTCGTACGATATCTCAATGAACGAAAGTGTTCGTGTTCGTACGATACCAGAAAAAATATATGAAGGCAAAATGTCAAAATATACTTCACATTAAGAAAGTAAGACAAATATATTTACAATATTAAAAACACGTATATGTGTCTGTGTGTTCTTCAAGACGACGAGCGACGTGTCTAGACACTCATCTCGGGTCCTTGTGGTATACACGCCTTGAGGTGTATACGTCATTTATTGGTGTATACGCACCTGGAGGTGTATTCCCTCTCCTCGATGTATATACACTGTTTAGAATTATTGTATACGTTTTGGTAGGTCATACTTCTAGTATGACCCCTCAGGTCCTAGTATGACCCCTCAGGTCCTAGTATGACCCCTCAGGTCCTAGTATGACCCCTCAGGTCCTAGTGTGACCCCTCAGGTCCTAGGATGACCCCCTCAGGTCCTAGTGTAACCCCTCAGGTCCTCCAGAACGAACACTAGCCCATTGATCCACAACATTCCAGGAAGTTCATCTCCAGTGTGGTGAGTTGGGTGTGATATTGCTCGGAGTCTAATGTCCCAACTTCCTTGACACTTCTTTGTGTATTGTGCTTCCCTGAGAGGAATATTGACACTTCCTTGTGTATTGTGCTTCCCTGGGAGGAATATTGACACTTTCTTGTGTATAGTGCTTCCCTGAGAGGAATATTGACACTTCCTTGTGTATTGTGCTTCCCTGAGAGGAATATTGACACTTCCTTGTGTATTGTGCTTCCCTGGGAGGAATATTGACACTTTCTTGTGTATAGTGCTTCCCTGAGAGGAATATTGACACTTCCTTGTGTATTGTGCTTCCCTGAGAGGAATATTGACACTTCCTTGTGTATTGTGCTTCCCTGAGAGGAATATTGACACTTGTGTATTGTGCTTCCCTGAGAGGAATATTGACACTTGTGTATTGTGCTTCCCTGGGAGGAATATTGACACTTTCTTGTGTATAGTGCTTCCCTGAGAGGAATATTGACACTTCCTTGTGTATTGTGCTTCCCTGAGAGGAATATTGACACTTCCTTGTGTATTGTGCTTCCCTGAGAGGAATATTGACACTTCCTTGTGTATTGTGCTTCCCTGAGAGGAATATTGACACTTGTGTATTGTGCTTCCCTGGGAGGAATATTGACACTTCCTTGTGTATTGTGCTTCCCTGAGAGGAATATTGACACTTCCTTGTGTATAGTGCTTCCCTGAGAGGAATATTGACACTTCCTTGTGTATTGTGCTTCCCTGAGAGGAATATTGACACTTCCTTGTGTATAGTGCTTCCCTGAGAGGAATATTGACACTTCCTTGTGTATAGTGCTTCCCTGAGGAGGAATATTGACACTTCCTTGTGTATAGTGCTTCCCTGAGAGGAATATTGACACTTCCTTGTGTATAGTGCTTCCCTGAGAGGAATATTGACACTTCCTTGTGTATAGTGCTTCCCTGAGAGGAATATTGACACTTCCTTGTGTATAGTGCTTCCCTGAGAGGAATATTGACACTTCCTTGTGTATAGTGCTTCCCTGAGAGGAATATTGACACTTCCTTGTGTATAGTGCTTCCCTGAGAGGAATATTGACACTTCCTTGTGTATAGTGCTTCCCTGAGAGAATATTGACACTTCCTTGTGTATAGTGCTTCCCTGAGAGGAATATTGACACTTCCTTGTGTATAGTGCTTCCCTGAGAGGAATATTGACACTTCCTTGTGTATAGTGCTTCCCTGGGAGGAATATTGACACTTCCTTGTGTATTGTGCTTCCCTGAGAGGAATATTGACACTTCCTTGTGTATTGTGCTTCCCTGAGAGGAATATTGACACTTCCTTGTGTATAGTGCTTCCCTGAGAGGAATATTGACACTTCCTTGTGTATAGTGCTTCCCTGAGAGGAATATTGACACTTCCTTGTGTATAGTGCTTCCCTGATAGGAATATTGACACTTCCTTGTGTATAGTGCTTCCCTGGGAGGAATATTGACACTTATGTATTGTGCTTCCCTGGGAGGAATATTGACACTTCCTTGTGTATTGTGCTTCCCTGGGAGGAATATTGACACTTCCTTTTGTATAGTGCTTCCCTGAGAGGAATATTGACACTTCCTTGTGTATAGTGCTTCCCTGAGAGGAATATTGACACTTCCTTGTGTATTGTGCTTCCCTGGGAGGAATATTGACACTTCCTTGTGTATTGTGCTTCCCTGAGAGGAATATTGACACTTCCTTGTGTATAGTGCTTCCCTGAGAGGAATATTGACACTTCCTTGTGTATAGTGCTTCCCTGGGAGGAATATTGACACTTCCTTGTGTATTGTGCTTCCCTGAGAGGAATATTGACACTTCCTTGTGTATAGTGCTTCCCTGGGAGGAATATTGACACTTCCATGTGTATAGTGCTTCCCTGGGAGGAATATTGACACTTCCTTGTGTATTGTGCTTCCCTGAGAGGAATATTGACACTTGTGTATTGTGCTTCCCTGGGAGGAATATTGACACTTGTGTATAGTGCTTCCCTGAGAGGAATATTGACACTTCCTTGTGTATAGTGCTTCCCTGAGAGGAATATTGTCACTTCCTTGTGTATAGTGCTTCCCTGGGAGGAATATTGACACTTCCTTGTGTATTGTGCTTCCCTGAGAGGAATATTAACACTTGTGTATAGTGCTTCCCTGAGAGGAATATTGACACTTGTGTATTGTGCTTCCCTGGGAGGAATATTGACACTTGTGTATAGTGCTTCCCTGAGAGGAATATTGACACTTCCTTGTGTATAGTGCTTCCCTGAGAGGAATATTGACACTTCCTTGTGTATAGTGCTTCCCTGAGAGGAATATTGACACTTCCTTGTGTATAGTGCTTCCCTGGGAGGAATATTGACACTTCCTTGTGTATAGTGCTTCCCTGAGAGGAATATTGACACTTGATTTCCTGTGATGACTTTATCTACGATGAATCTACCTTGGTTTCTTTAACTACACGAATTTACCTTGATTTCTTTCGCGGTCTCTACGTCAATTAGTTGCTGACTGACTGACCCAAAGTTAGTTGGGTGAAAGTTACTGACTGTTGGCCGCTGATTGACTGACACAGAGCTGATTATTGCCTCATTCTTGATATAATCTGAGATTGTTCTCTATCCCGCGATACAGTCGGAGGTTGCTCTGTACCTTGCTTGCCTGTATTCTGAACTTCAAGAAATTCTGAAATCATTTTAAACATTTCAGATCATCTTGTAAAATAAGTGAATTTTGTTGCAGCGAATATGTAATGGTTACAGAGATAGATATTTAATATTGTTCAACAGCGCTGTATACAGCACATATGAGATTGAAACTGACCTAATTACAGCTTAATGTGAGATCTGTATTCACTCTGCTCCGTAATGTTGAACACCTGCACACTGTAGCTCCTGTACACTGTAGCTCCTGTACACTGTAGCTCCTGCACACTGTAGCTCCTGTACACTGTAGCTCCTGTACACTGTAGCTCCTGTACACTGTAGCTCCTGTACACTGTAGCTCCTGTAATGGCTGAGATAGTTATAAGAAAGATAAACAATGGAAGTTATGATTGTCCCTTGAACATATATTATGACATCCTTAAGCATGGTCTCTCTCTCTCTCTCTCTCTCTCTCTCTCTCTCTCTCTCTCTCTCTCTCTCTCTCTCTCTCTCTCTCTCTCTCTCTCTCTCTCTCTCTCTCTCTCTCTCTCTCTCTCTCTCTCTCTCTTCTCTCTCCTAGTACATTACACATTTGGAATTCTGAAGGAGCTACGGGCACAAAGAGATGACTTACTGGCAAGCATTTTGAGTCCTATTGAAGTCATGTCTATGCTGTATGAGCTGCGTATTTGGAGTGACTTTGAGCCAGGATAGTCCCAGTATTTGTTGATGTTAAAAAAATAAAGTCTTAAAAAGCAAATAAAAACTCTATAGCCTTGCAAAGTTCCATTGACGGAACTATTGACCCATTTTCTTTGTTATATCATTCTTATTTTCTAAACTTTTGACACGTTGTAGATGTTAAACTCTGGCTTATGTACTGCATCAATGATGGTCCATTACCTGTGTTCAACCCTTAACTCATTCTTAGTACTATGGTCTTGATTGTTATTCTTGTTACTATAACTAATGGTTGTGTCTACTCTTCTCACCGGATGGAGTGATGTCACTGTTCTCCACAATAGCTGGATTGATGTCACTTCTCTCCACAATAGCCGGATTGATGTGACTTCTCTCCACAATTGCAGGATTGATGTGACTTCTTTCCACAATTGCTGGATTGATGTCACTTCTCTCCACAATAGCTGGATTGATGTCACTTCTCTCCA